GGTCATCCAGCTGTAATGGAGTTTGTGTCTCTTGCCTAAGAGGGCCACAGTGAGCCAGAGCCTATTCCAGCAGACACACAGCAAAATACACTTTGGAAAGAGGCAAGAAGCCACCACAGGCCAGATTCACATTCAGTCATTGTGTTGTGTAGACGCCTATACAGGATATAGATGTGTAGTGTATATATAACATTACTTTATTAACCCTTTACAATTTCTTGCATTAGGAATTATCTTTTCGCATACCCTAGCTTGCTCTCCATGAGACACACAGACAGGGAGAGAGCCTGGGGTCAGAGCACAGGGTCTGCCATTGCACGGCGCCCCTGGAGCAGTTGGGGTTAAGGACCTTGCTCAGGGGCCCAACGGAGTAGGATTCCTCTGCCGGCTGCGGGATTTGAACTGGCAACCTTCCAGCCACAGGCTCCGCCCCCTGTACCATCCTTAGTCAGATCTACCCTAGCTCTAGAAACCTACTTGCAATCTGCAAGGTGTTGCGCTGTAAAAAACATTGTTTTTAATACTCTTCTTGACTGCTCCTACAAAACAAACAGGATTCCAGGTTACACTAGCAATTCCACAGCTGTTTCTTTATGTGATTTAACACATGTAATGGCTCAGGTGGTAGAAATGTTCTCCTCCCTGTAGCTTTTCTGTTTTTTTTTTTTGTAGGTATCAGGTTTTGTTTTTTTAAGTCTATCCACACATCACACACCTGTCCAAAAACTACTAGAAAGATATACTTTTAAGGTCTAATTCGATCCTTTAATCTGAGTTTAGCTGAATACAATTTTGTCAAATGATGTACCAAATTGTCTTTGTTTCGTATAAAGTTGAATCATAGTGCATATACTCTAGTAGGAGTTTAATCCACACTGTGGCCTGTGGTAGTGGGACACTCCCAGCACAGTGTAGTACACTTGGCAGCAGGTCTCTTGTTCCTTACAAGGAAATTCTGGTGTTTCCATTGTGTACTTACAGTGTCCCATTTTGTTGAACTACAAATGTGTAGATTGAATTCTCAATCTGAACACTTCTGTGGGTGGAAGAAGTTGTTTATCCCTGAATTGGACAACAGGCTCACATGATTTCAGAATACAGTTCTATAAGGATCCTCAATAAGGCGGTGAATTTTAAGCAAAGATTCAACCTTGAAGACCGAGGAAAGTTCTTGGGGATAAAGTTGTGCAAGGGGCACAGATCAGGAGAAGGGTATAAAGATTTAAAGACGCTGAATATCCTTTTGAACAGGTCAATCATTAAGAAGTGGAAAGTATGTCTTACCATCCAAACCTTCCAAACTGAACAGCTGGGAAAGGAAACTGGTTAATGATGCCACTGGCAAATTTGAAAGAGCTTCAACATCAATTTCTTAGATGGAACATTTAGCCCGTACTGAAAAAAACGTTCTTCTTTCTTCAAAACCTCGCAGTAAACGAAATAATGCTAACTGACCTCAATGAGCTTGGTTGAGTGAGAGCATCTAAGATAGACAGACACTTTATTGATCTGGTGAGGGAAATTGCAGTGCAACAGCAGCTTAGCACAGTCAACACAGCACAGTGTTACGAAATGATACAATAATACAATACATACAAAAAAATATATTTAAATACAATACTTAAAAAAAGGGGGCAGAGCAGTGGCACTGTGGCTAAGGATCTGGGCCTGTGGCTGGAAGGTTGCCTGTTCAAATCCCACAGCTGGCAGAGGAATCCTACTCCATTGGGCTCCTGAGCAAGACCCTTAACCCCAACTGCTTCAGGGGCACCATACAATGGCTGACCCTGCGCTCTGACCCCAAGCTTCTCTCCCTGTCTGTGTGTCTGTGTCTCATGGAGAGCAAGCTGGGGTATGTGGAAAAATGAATTCCTAATGCAAGAAATTGTATAGGGCTAATAAAGTGATCTTAATACAATACATTCCCAGAGCTGAAGCTGCCATAGAATGTAGTTTCAAAATTAGTTTCTTTTTCAGCAAATATATGAATGAGAAAGCTGTGGCGATGGGTGAAGAACAGACTTGGAAAGGTATTTCTGCTTGTAGCAGCTCAGCTGTCATTTTTTACCTACTTGTAAATACTGCAGCAGTCAAGAATAGAATGTAGAGCTCCCCATGGAAATACCAAAAGAAATTCCCAGAGTGCAGTAGCAGTACGGCAGACTATGAGGTTTACCCTGGGTAACTAGCTTTTATTGTTAGTGGACACTTTTCCCAGAAGGCATTCCAATACACCTGAGTTCAGCAGAGAACTCTAGGGAAACAGCGCCTCCCTGTGGAGAAAATCTTTGATTCTACTGGGCAGTTTTATTCCACACATCAGTTCACTCCTTTGAGGTTATGAAAACCCTGTACTTACAGTAGCAAGGCTTTGTCTTACATGAAAAGCCAAACCTGATACTTCAGTATCATACAGCTGTCGAAGACAAGAAACTATCTTTACTTTACTGATGGTAAAGAAATCAGTGTTCATTATTTTACAGAAGTGAACAGTGGATCGTAACCCAAGCTGGTCCAAAAGGAGAATTTTGTTTTACTCTTTGTTAGCACAGTAGCAGGTATTATGTCACTTATTGTACTTTTATAAGAGGATACATTTATTTTCATGTTTTGATTTGTGACTGACGCCTTCTGTTTCATGAAAGAAAGCGTCTTACCACAAAACTGCAATTTTTCAAATATGAATTGTGCAGTCCTAGCTGAGATTCAAGGCGAAAGTGTTGTAGTGAAGGTAAAGCAGAGCCACAGTGCAGTTCTGTGGACGTTTGAAGGAAGTGGGGCCCTGTGGAGAGCCAGGTCTAGCTGCTCCACAATGCCTCACTCTCCACACAGGGCTGTAGTCAGCTCAATAACAACCTGAATTTGCAGCAGGTGTATTGTCTATAAATGTGAAGGAATTAAACGTGTTATACTGTGAAATTGGGTCATTTTCTTCTGAGATTGAGTAAGTGATAACGATGACTAAAGTAGTCAATGTGGTTAACAGGCTCTTTGTGAACAAGACTGCAGAACTTCCTGATGCAGTCACTTCCTTCCAGCCCCAGATCTGGTGTGGGGGCCTGCCTCTCTGAATGACTGTGAGCCAGGGCAGAATACACGCAGGTGATTTAGGGCAGAGATCCTCTTACATTGACACCAGGGGGCATCACCCTGTACCCCTCCCCCTCGTCCAGAAACTCCCAGGGGCTCAAGACACAGGGAGGACACATAAAAAACGAACAGTTTCTTCAGACAAAGACAATTAAAAGTCATTATATGAATTATAGTATTTATGTTCGATTTAACATTATGTTATTGTAACAGCAACTGGTCTATTATAAGTTATTAAAGTGAGTAACATTTATTTTTAAAAATGAAATTCATGCAGGATTCAATTTTATAGGACACAACTTTTTTTCTAGCAGCTGTGCAGGGTGGTGAAACATACAGTATATCCTGCAGAAATGTCCTTATTCTATTAGATGTTTGCCTTGTTTCATAGTTTCTAATTTAAGTTTTATTCCCCATGAGAAAGGGTGAAAGGGTTTACACAGTTGTGCAAATATTTTATATAATATATTTATCATAAAGATATTATAATATAAAATGTTATTTATTATACTTATTATAAATTATATGAAACCTGCTTGTATGACTCTGATTGGTATTGTATGTGTCCTTAGTAAACAAAAAAAGATAAAGAATCCATTTCACACTTAACAACTATCTGTATTATTACAGAGCTAACAGTGATCTTCTCATGCTAGGCAGTGATAAAGTGAATTGAAGAAGGTATCTTAACATAAGAGTCCACCAAATGAAAACATGAGCAACAGCTGGACAGCTCACTGTGGCAATGAACCAGTATATCACTAAAGAATCTTACTTGCCACCTTTAAGGATGAACAAATCTAGAATTGAGCAGAGGTGTCAGTTGAATTTAGTTACAGAAAGCTATGCTAAGATTAAAGTCTGCAAAGGTTTAGAAATGTGCATACTGAACTGACAGCTTTGCAAGCAACCCAGTACGTCACTTCACAGTTTTGATAAAGATGTGCTTACTCACAGTGGTCACACGCACTCAAATGTTTCCTTCCGAAGTTAGCTATTTCCGTATCCATTCGTGGACGTGGCGATGCTGAGTGTGAAGGTGACTAAGGTGTTCCAGCTGTAGAAATGTCAAAAGACGTCAGTCCCCCCCAAAGCAAAAACTACAAGTAGTGCTTCCCAGCAACACCCATAGATTTGTGCACCACAAATCTATGAGGACAGTCACTTTATACGCCCGAGGAAAGTGTGCTACAATGAGGCATTTCCCTCAAATTCCTCAGAATATTTTAGAAATGTATTTGCCTTTTCATTGATTTTACTAAGTAAAGCACCGGGCAGTATAGTAAAACCCGGAAAAGCAGAGTAAACTCATGACGTAAGAATACAATTTTGATCGCCATGTTATATTGAAGGTATTGCTGCTCTGGGATACAGATACAGTACATTCTGGATATGTTAAGGGAATGTCCATCACCATTAAGCTGCAGGGACTGATCCTTTTTTATCTTAAGCAGGGAAGATTAGGATGAGACCAGAACTGATGCCTCACAGAGCTGGGGTCCTGGGTTCGATTCCGGACTTGGGGTGCTGCATGGAGTTTGTATGTTCTCCCTGAGGGTTTCCTCTGGGTACCCCAGTTTCCCCTCAGTCCAAAAACATAGGCACCAGCACCCCCACAATCCTGTATCAGATAAAGCATCTTGAAAATGGATAGAGGGGACAAGACAAATGGAAAAATTGCAACTTTCGGTGATACATTTCATAAGTGATGGCCTCTTAAAAAACGACCCATATCTCTTCCACTGTGTGTTATGGAGAGTAACATGATAAAGAGGAGTTCCTTCAGTGGAGACGTGATGGGTTAACCCTGCCTGTACAGGTAACATTGATAATGAAACACAGACAGATAAGCAAACTTTTTCATAAAAAATCTGAGCTCCAGCTGTCTGAAACAAGCATTGGGACAACCATCACGGCAGAATTTATTGCTCAAAGTCCTGATATTTGGCAAGATATTAACCTGTATAACAACTAAGTTAAAAAGGCTTACCAAGGATGCAATGAGTACTTATTGGCTTTTGTTAAACACCATACTGTCGATATCATTAAGTGCATTATTTATGTGCATTTCCAGTAGATGCAGATTGACTTACATCTTACACCTGGTGGAAACAAAGCTGTTCATGAAAAATTCACTGCATCATTTTGAATAGAAAATATTGTGAGCTCTGACCTTCAAGCAACCTCGGTAGCAGAGAAGCTCTGGTTTCCCCAGCTAAACAAGATATGCCTGCTTATTGCCACTGTCTTGAACTCAAATAACAGGGGGACTGCAGACACAGGAAGGTTTAATCCACTGCATAGAGTTAAAGCTGTGTAAATGCTGTCTAGCCTTTTAAAGCAACTTTTCAGCGTGTGGTATATTCATGGTAAAAGCAAAGAAAATATTAGAAAAGCATCATGGCAAAGCAGATACAGAACTTTATACAGAACAGAAGCTTAATAAACTCTCTGGACACCTGCAAATATACCATGCATATCTGGAATGGAAACCTTCTTAATTGCAGTCCTGCATATACAGTACTTTTCATAAAATGTACATCAGTATAGTGTTATAATGTAAAAAACACAAATTATAGTCATTCCACTACAAATTATTTTGTAAAGACTTAATTCTGTAAGAAAACCAATTAATTGCATCATATTGCCTATACTGGATATACTGTATGTCAGTACCTACATAAGAACAGCAGTAAGAAATACTGTAAGCACATTAATAAACCACGCATTAAGTGTAAGCACAGAGAGAGGTAACGTAAAGCAGAATCTTTAAAACAAGAGACTTTTTAGGCATATCAATAGGAACCGTAGTGTTTTGGTAAAAAGATCCTGAAAATGACAATGGCTGTTCCCTGAAACTAGTAGAGCAAATTGCCCTATCCTTTTCTGAGAGAATAGGCAGGAAGTTTGTATGTAAACCCTCTTACATGAATGGGGCATGAAAACGGGGAGTGTACTGTAAAAAAATCAAAAGTGAAACCATGTGAAAAACACCAGAAAGCAAAAAGAGGTGTGATGATGCCAAAAAAACATAGTAAACCAGCTAGGAGCTGGTCTGTAAACTTTGTTAGGGTGCTTCCTTAACCAGTCGAAATGACAAAGTCTGCGGCTGAAAGTAGCAGCTGCTCACTTCGTTTCCCCGTGGCCTGGCTCCAAACGAAAAGCGGGTTGTCCCCCCCCCCCAAAAAAAAAACGGACTTGGTTGACGTGTGCCGGCTGCCGACGACTACCTGGGCGGGTCAGGTGGCCTTGCCGATGATGAGGATGCTCATGAGGAAGACCATGATGAAGAAGACCCACATGAAGAACCTGTCCATGACCTTCGCCACTTTTTTCCACTCGGCGCCCTTCGCGCACGTCGCCCTCTGCTCTCGGAAGCAGTTGGCGATGTACTCGATGTTCTTGACGACGGTGCCGTGGCGACCACAGGCGCAGGCCTGGGCCTGGGCCTGGGCCTGGGCCTGGGCCTTTCCCGGGCAGCCCAGGTCCTCTTTCGGACACCCGTTCACGTTGCCGTTCGGCTCCTCCCCGGCGCAGCGCTCGTAATTGCTCTGGCAACCCCTGGAGGTGCCCGACTGCGTCTTTCTTCCCGGCGGCTTTCTGCCCTTCCCGGCGGCGGCCTGCTCCTCCGCCGGCACCCGGACGTCCCGGCTCTTCTCCCCCTGCGGGGTCGTGCAGTTCTCGCCCACCTCGTAGACGAAGAAGATCTTGGACATGTAGTCGATGATGACCACCTTCGCCCACTTGGGCACGGGCTTGGCCTCCGCCCCGCAGTGGTGGATGTTCATGATGAAAATGGTCAGGGCCGTGGAGGCGGTGATCATGGTCATGGTCGCAATGTAATACTTGCCTGCAGGAACACAAAGCCAGAAACACATTTTCCTTCCTGCGAGGCTCTGGAAAGGCTGTGGAATGGGGCTTTCGGTACAAAGATGAACGGAAGGGCATGCGCTTCTGAGGGCAAAGCATCGTAATCCACACTGATATTATTACCACCTGTGAAACATGGGTGTGCATGTATCCCATACTGTATTAAAACTCTTAATCCTTTTTAAGCTGTACTAGAAAACCCTTGTGACCATTATCTGTATATAAGTAGTCCCATTCCATATTATTGCAGGACATATATAGACATGGCAGCATGGTGGTGCAGTGGTTAGCATTGGTGCCTCATAGCCCTGGGTCCATTGCTGGACCTTGGATTGCTACCAGTGTGGAGTTTGAATGTTCTCCCCCCACGTTCACATGCGTTTCCTCGAGACGCCCCGGTTTCACCCTCCAGTCCAAAGACATCCTTGCGGGTGCGTGTCTGGGTTTGTGCCTGCGGTTGACTGGGCACCTGCCCTGCGATGGACTGGCGTCCTGTCCAGGGTGCACCCAGCCTTGCGCCCGCTGCTTACCAGGATAGGCTCCAGGTAGGCTCCCCTGCCGCCCTGAACTGTAGGCAGCGATTAGAAAGTGGGTGGAAGATATGTAGATAAAAATACACAGATATATTTTTATATATGTAAGATTATGTATGGAATTATATGGATAATGGATTATATGGCTATGGGAGATTTCCATATATATAGAGATATATGGAAGCATCAACAGTGCATATTTTATTTCCATATAAAAATTAATTTCAGAATTCTAGAATGAAAATCATTGATCCCGTGCAGCACAGGAAGTGTGGCTGTACGCACAGGAAGTCTTTCCTCACACCGTCACACCGTCCCCGAGCGCAGCAGCTGAGCGGTCGTTCTCCACCGGGCCTGGGGCCAGACTCACCAATCAGGGGCACGTTCTCCGAGGGCGGCATACTCTCGGCCACCATCAGCTGGAAGACGGTGAGGGCCAAGAGCACAGTGACGCCCAGGGACACCTTCTCCCCCGAGTCGGCGGGCAGGTAGAAGCCCAGCGGGGCCAGGAAGGAGATCATGACGCAGGGGATGAGCAGGTTGAAGATGTAGAAGGAGGAGCGCCTCTTGAGCAGCAGGGTGTAGGTGATGTCGGGGTAGGGGTCGGAGCAGCAGCCGTACATGATGACGTTCCTGGTGGCCGGCATGCCGTGGCACTCCCACTCCACGTTCTCCACGAAGTCGGACAGATCCCCGCTGTCCATGCCCATGGTGATGTCGACCTGGTTGCCGTTGTAGGTCCAGGAGCCGAAGGTCAGGTTGCACTGCTGGTCATCAAAGGGGAAGTAGGAGACGTCCACCACGCAGGAGCTCTTGGTGATGGCGGGGGAGTCCCAGGTGATCTCCCCGTTGGACCTCAGGACCACGTTCGTGTCCACGGGGCCTGAGAAGTCGTCGTCGGCCCTGCAGGCGAACACGATTGGACGCAAACGGTTACCGCCAGTTGTACCAGTCCACGACTCAGAACGGCGTTCTCCCCGAACCTGCACCCGAGTTTAAATGATGCGTGCACAATGCTCAGAGAAACAAACAATTTTAAAATAATAAGCCATACTCGTGAAAATGAAATTGGTTTCAGGTGCATTACAAGCGAGTAACCCGCCCCTGCTTGAAAGACCTCAAGCTTTGGATCCCTCTGAGCAGTAGAATGACAAGCTGTCACCATGATGTAACGCTTGCTGCAGCAGTTATCAAAAAAAAAAACCCTTACTTATTGTAAAGCACGATGTCGGGTCTCCAGACCAGATTGCTGGGAATTCGGATTGCGTCCAGGCCATCGTAGGCCTCCTTGTCCCACTTGAGGTAGGCATCGTACCAGGTCTGTCTGATCCACAGGTAGGCTGTCAGGATCTGATTCCTCTCATCCTGTGCCCACAGGGTGGAGGGGGGAAACAGGTCAGTTGTGTGCCGAAGAAAACAAAATGATCTCACTGTGCATTGTGGGGGATGCATTCCACAAAACTGACTTCCCTGTTCCCAAAGCAAAAACTTCCCCGGCCAGATTTCATTCAGCAACAACAAAACCTCTGTCGATCTGTGGTTTGTTTTTTTGCAGAGAACTTTTGGTTCCTCCTTGCACGCCTGGCTTCGTACATGAAGGCCGTTTTTACATTTTACCCTTCTGACTGCTCCCCCCCAGGTGAAACACGAGGTTGTGCCCTGGGGACACACCTTCTGTGTCGGAGGAGGTAGTAGCGCAGCAAGCAGTATGTGGGCATGAGAGGTCTGGCCAGACTCTAGAAAAGAGGAAGCTCCAACCTGGACTCCGCCTGCCCGTGAAACACATCCTGGAGCTCACACCTCAATCACAAATACGACACAAGGCTGAGGACAGTGACAAGATGCTCAGGTTTTCACAACTGCTGATCATTCAGCATATAATATATAATGCCTCGTAATGTTTTCATTATCACAATTGGCGTTCACATTTTCTGATACTTTTTATGTTTCTTGAAGGTATTTGAACCCACGGAACTTGAGTGCCATCTTTTTGTTGCGCGACGGTGTTTATTTTTCATACCCACGTTGGCGTTGCGCCTTTACTTTTGCGTCGTGGGTTTTAGTAAATTAATTGCAAATGTTGCACCCTTGAAATAAGCTTTAGCAACTACCTCTTTAGATATCAAGAATGGAACTAACAAAGACATAACTGAATGTCCCAATGAAGATGTAAAACTGGTCATTTGAGCCGATAGTAATCCTGACGCTAACTGGTTGCGTATAACAGCTATAGGTCTAACTGGCCCAAGAATGAGTCAGACTTGCTAATGATAGACACAGGGGTCATTAACAGGTAGACGTACGACTATTGACTATTAACCTCAGAAAAAAAAGGACAAACCAATGAGACACAGGCTTGTTTCTTTCCATAATTTATTTATTAGGTCGCATAAATGTACCGATAACAAATCGCTTCCATTTTGAAAGTTCATTTTTTGCCTGACCTATTAATTGCCTAACTGCGCGGAGGGCATGGAGCTTTTTTGCTCAATGTGGTAATTGTCAATGGAATTACCTGTTCATGTTTATATATAAAACATCTTTGATTCATAAACCACCACGATTTCGTTATCTGCAGCGAGGAGACCCATCGCAGTCTCTAGGTAACCTGACTGCGGGGATCTATAATAACAGGCGGGCGCTTACACTGAATGCTCCCAACACCTGAAAGTATCTTGCACCGGTGTTAATTAACCATTTTCTTAGATAACCCATTTAATATACAATTTAGTAGAAACCTGTATCAAACGCTCGGTGTTTTATTATTTTGCTTTTTTGGAAGTAAAGTGTAGAAGTCGTCAGCTGATTAAATTAACGAGGCACGAAAGGATTAGTTGAGTTGCAACGGGACCTTCAGCTTTCGGCAGTGGCGTTACTACAGGAAATCCAGTATACCGAGATGTATTGTTGTGTTACAAACTGGGTAAATACTTTTTTAAATACATATATATTGACCTGTGGTCTGGCCTTTATATATATGGAATATTCTATATTACATATTTATTAGAGGGAATAAATGGTTTAATTCGATCATATTCATACACTTGGAGGAAAAAAATAATAACCGTAAACGACTACATAAACCGTGTCAAAGAATGCTCACAGCTGCCTCCCATCTCGGATTAATTTGCCAGGCTGCCCGGAAGGTGGCAGTGTAAGGCGTCTGAAGTCTAAAAAATTCAAAAAGGACGGCGGCACCTGGATGATCATTTCTGATGGGTGTTACCATCCCGTAAGCTGTCCTTGAATGTAATTATGGATTACATCACAGCCAGTCGGAAGAAATGTGTCTTGGCCATTTTAAAACGTGAAAGAGAGACCGTGAAACTTTGGTTCGCGAGTTAACGCGTCTAATCATGGAAACGTATTAGCACGCCTCCCTCTTGTGAACGCGCAGAGGTCTTTCACATGAAGTAAAACTCTTTTTTTATTATTCGCTTATACTGGCACCTCTTTTCTCTAACGAATAAAGCTCAGAAGTATACTGCAGCTGAGCACACTCCATCTTCCAGAACCCTGCTGCTTGTCCGCCATCTACACTCACACTAAGCTAAAGGCTATTAGACCAGCGGACACCAGCACTGTGCCATTCCTAACGCTATTCCAGCGCCTCGTCAAGACGCACCTGTTTAGAGAGCACTTGTGATCTATCCAGTTTCACTGTAGATACCACCTTCTTCCACTACGTAAGACTCGTGTTTCGCGTTCCTGACCCACCTTCGTTGCTACGTTTTATACCTTCACTCAGTATTTAATGAAGTTAATGCTGCGCCTGCCGAGCTTTATTGCTGGTCTTATGATGTACTAGATTTGTACTAGCATAGTATATAGTATTATAGTAATTCGAGGTACACACACTAGGGCTGCTTTCCCCAGAATCCAATTAACCTACCAGTATGCTTTTTGGACTTTCGGGAGCCCCTAGAGGAAACTCGAGCGAAAACATGGAGAACATGCAAACTCCACGTAGACTGCAGGCCAGGTCCGTAGTCGAACCCAGGGCCCAGGCGCTGCTAGGCAGCGATGCTAACCACTGCAAAGCCTGCAGCTTTATTAATTTGTAAGAAGTATGCCTGTGCTCAGTGTAGGAAGCTTTATGCCCAAATCTCCTAATTATTTCCCAATTTCCAAGTTCTCTCCAGCTTTATGTCCCGACGTAAAGAAAGGAAAACACTTAAGTGAGGTATGTGATCGGCAACGTCTTACCATGTCTTTAATTTGCGAAAGGGTGATCTGCAGGGTAACATTCAGGGCTTTGTCTGTGTCTTCCACCGGCCTCAGGGCGTTAGAGTAATTCTCCAGCAGATCATGAAACAGCATCTGGGCGTATTTCCCTTGAGCGCAGGAGGCGACTGCGGGCACAAACCAGAGACGACTCTGGAGCAACGTCTCTCAACGGACAGGAATGCATATCACCCCGACATTCTTACTCATGGGGTCTTCGGGACCCACGTATATACATATGTAAACCTCTCAGCTCTAGCTAACAAACGCGCTAGAGTACCGAAAAATATAAATTATAAGCTCTCTTAGAAGCACCCCCCCACACACCTGACACAGACGTCTTCTGAGGTGGTGGTTCTGAATAAGGTTCTATATTACGCCGTCACCCAGTCCAGTACAGACATATATACAATTAATATATGATTTCCCCTCCTTCATTTTAATTTAATCTTAATTGGGGGTGCTCGTCGAAAGTGATTTCTTGAAAGGGGCCGCCCCTTATAAAAGGTTAACCCCCCGTTATTGAAGTTTAACTGCAGCCGAGCATTTCCTTTTCCACCTTAAGTTTAACAATACAGCACATTCTCAAAGACAAACCACTTTTTTTAAAAAAACAACAACATTTTTTTAATTCTCTCGAGATTATTTTATGCTACGGTAGTCAGAACAGCCCAGTCGTCGGTTAAACACAGTCTAAAAACGCTGTAATGCTTTAATGCCAGAAAGCAGTGAATTCCGGCGAAAGAAAATAAGGCTCACCTTGACACAAGACGGCAAAGCCCAAGATAAATATGCTTCTCTTCATTTTTGTTTCTGCCCTCTTGAGCTCGGTGGCAGCGGTCACACCTGCTCACACCTCTGTAGCTCGTAAGACAGATGGAAAACGCGCGGTCTGCCCCGCCTGCCACATCCAGCGGGCGGTTCACACTCCGCAGCAGGACGGGCTCCCCACACCGGAGGTTCACCTGCGCAGGGACTGTGCGCCCAGCTTGTCCAGCTCAACTCTGGAGTGCCGCCGCTGAGCTGTGGAACAAGAACCGGGCTATCACGTAACGCGGAGGCCGGGGAGAAACTGGACCCGCTGAGTTCTGGTACAGGCCACCGTCTGCTAGAGACTCTCCGCTGTCACGGAAAAAACACAACAACAAATATCTATCTTTGCCGTCGCTCATTCTTTCGGATAAAAAATCGCTCCTGTTGCTTGCGCTTGTAGCAGAGATTTCGCCAGTATTACGAAAATACACCTGTTAATAGTGATTAAGCACCTTCTAGCAAGATGATTTTAGAAGTGTGAAATATCCTTTTAACAAGTCGCAGCGAAATAGTCTGTAAGATTGTGTAACATACAGTAAGTACCCCATGCATTTTAAAATGTCCATAGCATTATATGTTAACACAGTAATAAAATATTCCGGGATCGATTTCTATTCTTAGTATTCAAGCCTGTCAAAACGGTTTTGGTAACAGACAACCGTTTCTACATTAAATGCGGCAATATTTTAGCTGGACAAAGAGAGCACTGGTAAAAGAAAAATAACAGCACTCTGCTGCCTAAATTGCGCCTATAGTCACCTAAAGTTCAAATGCATGACACTTGGGGAAAATTTGAGCTGTTCCCTGACGATTTATGCCCATACTGCCCCTTTGTGGACACCTGATGAATTGCAAGTACTGTCTCTGAGACAATCTGACAAAACATCACCTGGAAAGTCTAGCGGTTACCTTAGGAGAGATACAAGTTTAATTTAGTTCCCACAAAGGACTTATAATGTAGCACTTGGAAGTTCTCGCCTGGGTTCAGAAGGAAAAAGAGGCAGGAATTTGGGAATGAATGCTTAGCTGGAAAAGCAGACCCTGACAATGTGCAGCTCGGTGATCAAGCAGAGCTGGCTACCCAGAGTGGACGGACTGCACACACTGCCGGCAAGGGATAAGGAGAGACAGAGAAGCGCTTTCTGCTACATTGTAAGAAATAACTAGACAAATATTCTTCTCCAAAATAAATCAAATCCCAGAATTCCCACACCTGCCAGAAGATTATTCCAGCTGAACTGCAGCTCAATATGCGATCTCATGTCAGTCTGAGGAACACACAATGCGTGTCTGAAGTAATTGCTGATGAATTGTTTTACATGTTCTAATTCTTACTGCTTAGGGTTCTGTATGCTCATGAAGTTATGCGGGGTCCTGCACAGGAGTCTTGAAACAGTTTGGAAACCTCCCCCAGCAAAACATCAGCACGATCAGCCGTCAAATGCGAAAAAAGAAGAGCAGGAGGAATCTACATATCTTGGAACCATTTTCATTTAAAAAAAAATCTTAAAGCAAGAGTCGAAATCCAAAAACACACAGCACATTTTAATAAGTTTGACCAAAATGGA